GCAGTAAGTTTTCTTACCATAGCAATAACATGGCTTCTTATAACTAGGTTGTATAGCAGTGAGTTTTTTGTCATGGCAATAACATGGCTTCTTATGGACACCTACCTCACGCAAACATGGCGGCTGGCGACACGCATCTTTGACATTCAGTGCTACCTCCAGTTAGTTAGAATTATAGCTCAGTGGGATCCCGGGATCCGTGAAATCTAACAAAATAAAAATGATTTCATTATTTTTGACCATTTACTTGATATTTTAAATCATATCAAGGAAATGTCAACAACTTGAAATACACTTAAAATAAATTGCAATATACTCATTTTTATAAATAAATGCATTAAAATTGATTCAAACCACAAACAGTTTTGGTAGTATTAATAATAGTTATAATATTAGTATGATTAAACAATTAATTTAAATTTTCCATTATAAGCTATGCCAATTATGTACGATTAAATCATGGAACAAATTCTCAATTAATTATAAGCTATGATATTGTAAGGTATGGCGCCCTACCATGTTTTTTTCCTTCCATCATGGCGCCCTACAGTTTAATCCTATAATCTAATACGAGCAATGTTTGCTTGTATGTATGTATGCTTGCTTGCTTGTACCAAGATCTCGAAAACGGCTCCGACGATTTTCTTCAAATGTTGTAAATAGATTATTTTTTGCCTAAAAACGAGTTTACTATAGTTACAACTGCCAACAAAAATCTAATTACGTAGAAAAATGAAACTGAAAGTCACATTTTTTTAACATTAGTCTTATGGGTTGCTAAGTAACCATGTTGGAAGAATTAAATAACAAGGAAAAAGTAAACAAAAGACTTGTAAGTTGTAACACATCTGTTCGTAAAGGCATCTACCCACAGTATACTAGAAATTCCAAAATAAAGTACAAAAGCAAAAACATCACTTGTTACTATTGAGCAATGATTATACTGAAGCTTACTCGATACATTGTAGTAAAGGCTAACTTAGCAGTGCAGAGTGTGGGATCTGTTATGACGATTAGATTAAGGTAAATTTCCCATCCTTTTATGGAACAGCTGAAGCCAATTTTATTGTTAGTTCTGTCCGGTTTTCTGCAGATGTCGAGCTTTGTATACAATTTGTTTCTTGTTATTTCAGTAATTTAAAACCTCATTTAACCAAGTAATACTATTTAATCATAAACGAAGACTCGTTCACTATATTACCGTACTATATGACTATATTACTATAGTTGGCTATATAAGAAAACAGTGAGACACAAATAATGAGAAAATGACCCTAAAATAATAGAAACAAATTGTAAACAAAACATGACATCTACAGAAAACCAGACAGAACTAACAAGAAAAGTGGCTTCAGCTATTCCATAAGGATGGTAAGGTATCTGCAATTCTAAAATGCTGTGGGACGGTTAGGAAACAGGACCGACGTACAAGCGACGTAAAAAGTGGTGAAGGAAGTAGTAAATGTGAGCTATCCTGAGTGCGGGAACTTTTTATGACGATTAGATTAAGGTATCTGCAATTCTAAAATGCTATGGGAAGGCAAGGAAATAGCTCCGTGACGTAGGAAGTGGTAAAGGAAATAGTAAAGGTGAGCGGTCCGGAGTGTGGGAACTGTTTATGACGAACAGATTAAGGTATTTACAATCCTAAAATGCTATGGGAAGGGAGGGAAACAGGTCCGCGACATAGGAAGTGGTGAAGGAAGTAGTAAAGGTGAGTAGTCCGGAGTGTGGGAACTGTTTATGACGATTATATTAAGGTATCTACAATCCTAAAATGCTATGGGAAGGGAGGGAAACAGGTCCGCGACGTAGGAAGTGGTGAAGGAAGTAGTAAAGGCGAGCAGTGTGGAGTCTGGGAACTGGAAACCAATTGTAACAGTTATATTTATGTATCTGAAATTTAAATACTGAAATGCTATGAGAAGGGATGGAAACATGTCCAAGTCATAGGAAATGGTGAAAGAAGTAGTAAATGCTAGCAGTGCGGAGTGTGGTAAATGTTTGTGGCAATTAGATTAATGTATTTAAAATACTAAAATGGTATTGAAAGAGATTAAAACAGGTCCACGACGTAGGAAGTAGTAAAGTTTAGCATCGCAGAGTGTGGGAACCTTTTGTGGCAGTTCGATTAATGTATCTGTAATACGTAAATGCTATGAGAAGGGAAGGAAACAGGTCCATGACGTAGGAAATGGTGAGGGAAGTAGTAAAGGCTGGCATCGCAGAGTTGGGGAATGAATTTCCCCGAGCAAAGCTCGGTCCCCAGGTACTCCTATACTCTAATACGAGCAATGTTTGCTTGTATGTATGTATGCTTGCTTGCACAAAGATCTCGAAAACGGTTCCGACGATTTTCTTCAAATGTTGTAAATAGTTTAATTCTGGCCTAAAAACGAGTTTACTGCAGTTAGAACTGCCAACAAAAATCTAATTACGTAGAAAAATGAAACTGAAAATCACATTTTTTTAACATTAGTCTTATGGGTTGCTAGGTAACCTTGTTGGCTGAATTAAATAACAAGGAAAAAGTAAACAAAAGACTTGAAGTTGTAGCATGTGTTCATAATAAGCCAACTACCCACAGTATACTAGCAAATTACAAATACAGTACAAAAGGAAAAACATCATTTAGCAAAGATTATACTGAAGATTACTCGATACATTGTAGTCAAGGGTAGCAGTGAGAAGTCTGGGATCTGTTTATGACGATTAGATAAGGGTATGGGCAATCCTAAAATGCTATGGGAAGGGAGGGAAACAGGTCCGTGACGTAGGAAGTGGTGAAGGAAGTAGTCAAGGCGAGCTGTCCGGAGTGTGGGAACTGTTTATGACGATTAGATAAAAGTATGGGCAATCCTAAAATGCTATGGGAAAGGAGGGAAACAGGTCCATGACGTAGGAAGTGGTAAAGGAAGTAGTCAAGGCGAGTAGTCCGGAGCGTGGGAACTGTTCATGACGATTAGATAAGGGTATGGGCAATCCTAAAATGCTATGGGAAGGGAGGGAAACAGGTCCGTGACGTAGGAAGTGGTGAAGGAAGTAGTCAAGGCGAGTAGTCCGGAGCGTTGGAACTGTTCATGACGATTAGATAAGGGTATGGGCAATCCTAAAATGCTATGGGAAGGGAGGGAAACAGGTCCGTGACGTAGGAAGTGGTGAAGGAAGTAGTCAAGGCGAGCTGTCCGGAGTGTGGGAACTGTTTATGACGATTAGATAAAAGTATGGGCAATCCTAAAATGCTATGGGAAAGGAGGGAAACAGGTCCATGACGTAGGAAGTGGTAAAGGAAGTAGTCAAGGCGAGTAGTCCGGAGCGTGGGAACTGTTCATGACGATTAGATAAGGGTATGGGCAATCCTAAAATGCTATGGGAAGGGAGGGAAACAGGTCCGTGACGTAGGAAGTGGTGAAGGAAGTAGTCAAGGCGAGTAGTCCGGAGCGTTGGAACTGTTCATGACGATTAGATAAGGGTATGGGCAATCCTAAAATGCTATGGGAAGGGAGGGAAACAGGTCCGTGACGTAGGAAGTGGTGAATGAAGTAGTCAAGGCGAGTAGTCCGGAGCGTGGGAACTGTTCATGACGATTAGATAAGGGTATGGGCAATCCTAAAATGCAATGGGAAGGGAGGGAAACAGGTCCGTGACGAAGGAAGGTGTTAAGGGAGTAGTCAAGGCGAGCTGTCTGGAGTGTGGGAACTGTTTATGATGATTCGATAAGGGTATGGGCAATCCTAAAATGCTATGGGAAGGGAGGGAAACAGGTCCGTGACGTAGGAAGTGATGAAGGAAGCAGTAAAGGCGAGCAGTCCGGAGTGTGGGGACTGTTTATTACGATAAGATCAGGGTATCTGCAATCCTAAAATGCTATGGGAAGGGAGGGAAACAGGTCCGCGACGTAGGAAGTGGTGAAGGAAGTAGTCAAGGCAAGTAGTCCGGAGTGTGGGAACTGTTTATGACGATTAGATTAAGGTATCTGCAATCCTAAAATGCTATGGGAAGGAAGGAAAACAGGTCCGCGACGTAGGAAGGTGTTCAGGAAGTAGTCAAGGCGAGTTGTCCGGAGTGTGGGAACTGTTTATGACGATTAGATAAAGGTATGGGCAATCCTAAAATGCTATGGGAAGGGAGGGAAACAGGTCCGTGACGTAGGAAGTGGTGAAGGTAGTAGTCAAGGCGAGCTTTCCGGAGTGTGGGAACTGTTTATGACGATTAGATTAAGGTTTCTACAATCCTAAAATGCTATGGGAAGAGAGGAAAACAGGTCCGCGACGTAGGAAGTGGTGAAGGAAGTAGTCAAGGCGAGTAGTCCGGAGCGTGGGAACTATTTATGACGATTAGATAAGGGTATGGGCAATCCTAAAATGCTATGGGAAGGGAGGGAAACAGATCCGTGACGAAGGAAGTGGTGAAGGAAGTAGTCAAGGTGAGCTGTCTGGAGCGTGGGAACTGTTTATGATGATTGGATTAAGGTATTTGCAATCCAAAAATGCTTTGGAAAGGGAGGAAAACAGGTCCGCGACGTAGGAAGTGGTGAAGGAAGTAGTCAAGGCGAGTGGCCGGAGTGTTGGAACTGTTTATGATGATTAGATTAAAGTATTTGCAATCCAAAAATGCTATGGAAAGGGAGGAAAACAGGTCAATGACGTAGGAAATGGTGTAGGACGTAGTAAAGACGAGCTGTCCGGAGTGTGGGAACTGTTAATAACGATTAGATTAAGGTATCTACAATCCTAAAGTGCTATGGAAATGGAGGGAAACAGGTCCATGACGTAGGAAATGGTGTAGGACGTAGTAAAGGCGAGCCGTGTGGAGTTTGGGAATGGATTTATGTGTCTCCAATACAGTACTAAGACTGCTTTCAGAGTGGACTAATGATTTTCCCCGAGCAAAGCTCGGTCCCCAGGTACTGTGGTTTAATTCGCGTCTGTATGTAGTATGTGTAGCTTCATTGCATGTCAAAATCAACTGCCTTGAAAAATTGCAGACGACACAAACAAAAGACAATCTAACCCTAACCCTAACCTTAGTCTGTATTCTGTAAGATTTTAATTTCACAATTTAAGAAAATGTAACCAAAGTAGTTTATATAATAACTTGTTATACTGTAAAACGAATGGATAGTGTTTAGTTATTCCCTTTTCAATCCTCGAGATATTTAAATATGTTTTGTAGATCTGCTGTCTCAGTGCTTAGTTCAAGATGTGTTTTAACTAAAGTTAATCCAACGGCTTCAAACTTTAAGCAAAAACTTTATTTTTCAAACTCGAACCAACTGTTTTCAAAGAACAAATTTTATAGTGCAAAAGTAGATTTAAAAACCAAGTCAACTCTGTATTATCTAGCAGCTGCAGGAGTGCTTGTTGTAGGTTTGAGCTATGCTGCAGTTCCTTTGTACAGAATATTTTGTCAGGTAGGCCTAGGCTTAGTTTGTATTAAATATATTAGAAACCCTGACCAATACAACAGGGGTACACTTTCATATCTGTTGGCACGAACAACCGAATGAGTAATATTGATTATTCCATTGTTTAATTCGATATAGGCTATCGTTTGGTTAGTTAGGTTAGGTTAACCTTACATAACTAACCAAACGATATATCGATCGATATTTTTATTCGGTTGTTTGTGCCAACAGATATGGATGTGTACCCTACAACAGATGTAGTAGGCCTAAGTTAATTGTAATACCTCTTCTACCTTAAGTTAACCCATTCACAATGGCTATCATGTAGGCTTAGCAAAGTAGCCTTCTAAGTTACCTATGATCAGTAAGTTAGGTAAGTTACTCTTAGTTCTTTCTTTTTTTTTCTTGTATCAACGCCAGTTGCATTTTTAAAATGAAGTAATGAAGTCAAACGCTTTTATGGGAAAACGGTCCAAACCCATTAACTTAAAGTTTTGTGGATGTGCCGGGGATTGAACTCGTCCCTCCCGCACCAAAGTCCGAGACGCTAACCATAGGCTAGCAACACACCCTAAATTCTACTACAAGCCTTCGCATGCACTGTATCCTAAGTTAATTAATTGTATTGTTACGACTTTAGATTTTACACTCAGTATTATTATCGATTAATACCATAGGCTTTTAGTCGTAATGAGCATTTCTCAACTTGTAAACATAATCTGAAAGATTTTTGTTAAATCAATTGGCAAATTAGGCTAATAAAAATAAAAGTATAAAGTCGAATTGAGAGCCCCGCAAATGGGCCACACTTTAATATACAGGTTCCAAACAGTCTGTAGCCTTTGCTAGTTTACATGACTAAGCTATTGCCACAACAGATGATTTGTGAGATAATTTTTCTTTTTAGCAAGTAAGTGTCTAAGGAGGTTAGAATAAAAGTTATGTGTGGCCTCTTGGATATTAACATAAATTAAAAAAGATAAAAACGCACCCAGGCCGATTGAAAACTGTTGTGTAAGACCATATGGATAGTCGCTGTAGGCTATTACTTTTGTTTCTTTTAGCGAATTTCCCTATAGGGAAGTAGCTATTACCGTAGGTGGCACGGTAAGACCTAGACCCGGGACCGATTTACTTTTTCATTTTGATGTCCCCAGAGGCCAAAAACACCATTCGTTTAAATTTTTATATATGTATATATATATACAGACTTATATATATATATCTAATATATAAAATTCTCGTGTCACAGTGTTTGTCTGCAAACTCCTCCGGAACGACTTAACCGATCGTTATGAAATTTGGTGTGTAAATTCTGTAGGTATGCGAATCGGACGTAAACTATTTCCCGTTTCAAAATTCTTAAAAGGGCTCCGCCCCAGTGGCTCTGGAGTTTCCCATGTTAACCTTATGAGAAATGGAATTAATGAATCTTAACAGCTGTTTCAATTAAACAATTTGGTTCTGTTCTATGATGTTCAATAGCATTAAAGTTACAAGGATTACCAACAGGGTGCAGCACTATTATTTCTTTTACATTTATGACAACAGCTAATTTGCAACCAAAAGGTGAGTGAGCGTAGCGAACGAACTTCAACCTGGAGGCGAGTGAGCGTAGCGAACGAGCTAACCTGAAGGCAAGTGAGCGTAGCGAACGAACTTCAACCTGGAGGCGAGTGAGCGTAGCGAACGAGCTAACCTGAAGGCAAGTGAGCGTAGCGAACGAACTTCAACCAGGACGTGATTGAGCGATGCGAACAAGATCATCTTGAAAATTAAACGTAACGGTACTTTCTTTCCATCGGTCTGTCTTAGGGGAAACCTATAACTTAGGCGATACGAAGTTCGCCGGGTCAGCTAGTATATATATATATATATACGTCCGTGAACGCGATAACTTGAGTAATTTTTGTCCGATTTTGATGAAATTTGCTTTAAAGGTGTAAAGCGGGATAAACTTGAATGAGTTCGCGAACCAGCACGATCGGACCATGGGAACGGGTCTTTACGGGGGTTTTATGGGGTAAAAATTGGTTTTTCTCACTTTTGACCCTCAAAACACAAAATTTCCCGATTTCTCTTTAGACCTTTTTAAAGAGCTTAAAAAAAACAAATAATTTAGTATATAAAAGAATTTTTGTTTGATTATTAGTAACGGAGAAAATTAAAAAAAAAATTTAAAATTCCCATGTTATTCTTATATGGAGAATATTGTCAAATGTTGTAGTTTGCTTGTTTATATATTTTGATCAAACTTGGCAAATTTATTTATTTTGTACTAAGCTATCAATATTTTACTCAAAAACACACTTTATTAGTTTCCTTGTAGCAGCAAACCTAGGTACTCGTTAAACCTAATGTTATTAAAATATATTTAACTGAAAATCAATTCAGACAAATGGAAATTCGCTTAGTCGGCAGGTTTGCTGCGGCGGGGGTATTTAGAACCACATTACAGATCTGTTGGTCTAAGTTAATATTTTCTTTGGCATAGTCCTACAAAATGATTATTTGTTAATAGGCCTAACTGTAGGAAGATAACATACGTATTGTTTGTTTAATCATTTGCATTGCTGCTTTAACAATCAATTTAAGTTATCATTATTGTCGATACTGACACAAATTAAGCAAAATTAAATATCAAACACAAGTCATAAGTCATTTAAAAGACTGAATACTGGGCCTCCTATGTACTTAGTAGGTACCTAACTAACCTAGTGGGCCTACGGTAGGCCTACTAATCTAGCCTCCTAAATTTTCACAATTTTTCCTTAGTTTTTACTGTCTATTGTCAGTTTTAATTTACAAATGAAAAGATTGCCCATTAGATCCTTCATCTAGAGGCCACAAACCTAATAACGATATGTGTGGAACGTTGTCTTTACTGTACTTTAACTACACAATAACTTAAGGGGTTTTCAAAATAATAATTCAGGATCAAAATACTTTCAGGCTTACAGCTATGGAGGTGCTACGGCAGAGGCTAGTGGAACTGATGTTGAGAAACTTAAAAAAGTGAAGCATCGAGAAATAACAGTTAAGTTTAATGCGGACGTTTCGTCTAGTATGAAATGGAATTTCAGACCGCAGCAGGTTGAAATAAAGGTAAGTTATGCATGTGATCAATTTGAATATATTTGGCCAGTTATAAATATATGTTATGACCTGTGTTGAATGGAATTAATAGTCCTTCATATTTGAAGGCGATTAATATATTTAATGGTTATTTTTACGTTTTATATATTAAAGAAGCCGAAAAAAGTCTTACTGTATCTCAATTTCTGTATGTCTGTCACGGCCCAGAAGGCATTTTACACGGTCTCTCAAGATCATCGATCGGGATTCAAATACAGTAGAGAGTCGAAAATCTGAACCACTCCTGAGGGTTTTAAAATATTGAATTAGAACAGGGACAAAAGCTCTTTTACAATTTTTCGGGTCAAACAGTCGTAGCCTGGCAGGGAAATGAGTGAGCCAGTCTGTGTTTTGTTTGTTTCTAATGTTTAATTTCTACATATTTTTTTCAAGAAAGGAATTACAGTTATAACTTATAACGAAAATACCTAAATACAAAAATCATTATTTTTATTTCATTCACAGTATCCTAGAACTGTATTTTTAATACTGTAGGCCTAATTATGTGTCTATTAGCCATTTCTAGGCTATGTTTGAAAATCCTAATAAATCGGTAATCTGAACTACCGGTACCTACAGTCCCAATTGGTTCGGATTTTTTAATCTCTACTGTATTATTTTTGTATTCACTGGATTGGCGAGGGGGTCTTTAGCCATTAAAATATGGCCTCACTACTTTTAAAATAAAATAACGGACATTCAAAAACTCAATTTTGTGTGATTTTTGTCAAGTTTTCTCCCAAGGTTTACCACATTCGTAATTATTTATGAAATACTAATCATCTGTTTGGAGAATACAACATCTATAAAATAACGAACAGCTGTTTGTATACAGATTATTTTTTCTACATGTTGTTTACAAATACGGCAACCATTTCAGATTTGTAAGAACCATTCACGTTTTGTTAGAAAATACAAAACCAATTGAGATTGAAAAGTTGTGCCATAGGCCTACATAAGGGATTTAATTAATCGCAAGTGCAATAATGTGTAACTGTAAATTAAATTAAATTTCTAGGCATCATTCAGGTCGTTAACCGGAAATTCTCTGTGTGTGTGTGTGTGTGTGTCAAACTGTACTTGAGTTTTGGTAACCGGGAAAAAGACCCTGAAACAGTGCCTTATCCGGAGTTTTCCTGCATATCTAGAAAAATGCACTCTAAACATGCAAACCAACTGCAGTTCTGATTATAAGAAGGTTTCAACTGACTGCACGATCCCGTCCGTAGAACCACACAGCTAGTACAAATTAAATGCATTGCAGTAAAACTATTTAAACTTTTTAATTGTGATTTTCCATCTTTAGCTGAGCTAGTGTAGGCCAAACCTTGTTATGTTTTTGGTATTTGCTTGTCTAAATACGGGACAGATTCCAGATCTTGAAACCTCGCAAAAACTTTGTCTTTTGGTAGGCCTAATTGTGATGGAAAATATCAGCAATAATCTTTAAAATCACGTAAGTTAAACTAACCATCACCTAAAATAAACCTTATCCTACTGTGTGTATCTTATGGTTTTTAGTTACGGTACGGTAATGTGTTACCATAGACTAACCAACACAGGCCATGAGTCACCTATTGGGCTCAATGCATGGATGCTAAAATCTTCGTAGTTTACCATAAAGTGTAATAAAAAACGCCATTTTTTTACCTGCATCAAATGAGAAGAACATTAGGCCTAAATAATCAATGATTGCATGACTATACTTCTGGATATTACAAACTAGTAGTCATTACACACAAGCTTTGTCACTGATCTATCACATGTCCACAGGTATTTCCCGGAGAAACTGCCCTTGCCTTCTACACAGCAAAGAATCCCACAGATAAACCAGTCATTGGAATCAGTACGTACAATGTTGTGCCGTTTGAGGCTGGCCAGTATTTCAACAAAATCCAGTGTTTTTGTTTTGAAGAACAAATGCTGAACCCACATGAAGAGGTAGTTATTGTTATACCTACTATTCTGAGCTTCCTTTACCACCTCAACTCAAATACATTGTATGTGCTCAAACACAGGCCCGCGGTTCGCATGTGATGGGCAATGGGCCCAAGAAATAATTGCACCCTCCGCCCTTCATTGCGAGGAATTTTTATTTTCCTTGCACCCCAAGAAACCTATAAAAACCTCTTGCCCTCCTGGGTCCGGGGCCCTTTTACCAAAGCAACCCTGCTCAAACCCCTAAACTGCTTGCTCAAAAGTTCTTTAACTCATAGCCTACTCTATTTTACCATGGCAAAAACTTGTCGAACTACAAAATTTCCAACCACAACCAATTACGCTTAGATTTGTTTAAGGTGACCACGATACATCTTAGCGGTGAGGGATGATAAGCGGTACGGCCAAATGCTGCTCTGCCACTCACCGCTCAGATGAGTCACGCTTGTTAGTTTTGTTTCAAACCATGCATTGCTCTTGTTAATCGAATGTACCCCAAACGTCTCCTTGGCCAAAAAACAATGTTTTTCTTTGACAGACATTAGATGCAATAAGTCCTGCGGGTCTGTAAAGTTGACCATCATGAACTATACTGAAAAAGTAGGAAATTCACTGAGTTGTAAGAAAGTTGCTGCTTGTATTGTAACCATCCGCCGCATACGTTTCGCTCAGATTGCCGCTCGTAATGTGCCCAAGGCCTAACAGCAACAACACCAACAAACAGCTTGGAATCGAATCAGCGACCTTCAGATTCAATGTCGAGCACTATAACCACTCGGTTACCCTGATTTTGCCAAATTAGCTAGAGAATACTGTACATACTAGATCAAAGAGGCTCTATAATATAAAGAATGTATGGATTCCAAAATATTATATACTTTTTACTTTCACTTTACTTATATCAATTTCATGAAGAGGTCTCTGGATCGTCTGAAATTTTTAATAGAGATGTAAATTACCTTGTTAAAACAATCTTTGGTAGGTTACAAAGACTACAGCTGTTTCGAGTTGAGGATGGAGCACATCATGTCAACGTGTGTTTTAATATTCCTACTGGTGGAGTTTTGTGTGGTTTTTCGTTTTTATCGTGTGCTATTAGTACACAAATAGGTACCAAACTTCTGACAAACTTTACCATGAGGAATATTAAAACATATGGTGACAATCTGACCTTTATACGCTGAACAAAACAGCTGTAGTCTTTGTAAACTACCAAAGATCGTTTTGACAGTAACCAGGTAATTTAAACCTCTTTTAGTTAGATTAAGGATTATGTAATTGAATATACTAGTGTACATGTTGCTCGAAATCGAGCAATTGCAAAGAAGTACGGGAGTTATTTATAAACAAATATCTTGTTTAAAAACTGACAACAGTCATAATTTCCGATGATTTTAAAAGAGTTGGCTAAAAGATTAATAACTAATGGAAATACTCGCAATTTACATAACAGTCCTATTCCAGTTTAAAGGGATAATTTTTAACTATCAAACTGCCCATGGACGGGAAAAGGTAAGCTTACAATTTAAGTTAACGTAAAAAGGCTCTCAGCTTTTATAATGTACCGTACCTAAGTTATTTAGCCATTTGTAGACAATAAGGTGTAGGCTACTTTAAACTGTACAGAACAGAGTTAAGCAAAAACTGACAGAACTCTGAAATGGTGTTATTTATCATAGGCATATTCATATGCCAAATTCTTAAAATAAAAATTCAATAACCAATAACATAGGCTATCATTAAACACAAATCAACATCCAAAACTATACACAATTTTAATACAACATAGATTATTTACACATTGCATGTTTGCAATTAACATATGTTCTTCTTCTCACTTTTAATTTTTGCTTCACAACGGGAAAAATCTGTTTCATAATCATTGAAATAGATTTATAATAAATAATCCATCAAAAAGTTTAAGATTAAATAAACCTTACCACATAGTTGTTTTATTTTTTTGGATAAGCTGTCTGAAATCGTGAAATAGGCATTTGACAGTTCTGGTTGTTTACATGTAAATGTCAAAGGTAATGTAAACATTGCGAGTTTTCTCATGCTTCTATGGAGACCAATTATCAATATTTAATTTCTGACAACAGCTGGAGTTTCAAAACAATGTTTGTTTCCCATGTTATTCTTATGGAGAAATATGAAACTTTAAAGGGCCCCAGTGCCTCACTCTCTAATTATTTCCCTAAAAAGAAAGTTTCCTGCACAACTTCACGTTACGCTCTTTCCAACGACACCAAAAACATGTCAATCGGTTCAGTAGTTTTGGAGGAGTAATTGTCACAAAAATCCTGCTTGCGTATTAAATAAGTACGAGAGGTCATCCAGTGGTCGAAACTCGACCAAAAATATGTAATGTAAACTTACTCACTTCTCTATTTTCACCCCACACTGTAAATAAAACATGTGATTGGAGTTTCTTCCATTTGTTTTGATTTTCTGTTTATATTTCGTTGTTATTTCGTCACCAGCATGGCAACGCATAAGATCCATGTTAATTTTTTCAAATTTTTAAACTCATTTTTTGTGCTTATCTTTGAGCCTATTTAAATTTATAAAGGGATTCTGCACACCTACAGGAAAATAGCTTTCTAACGGTATGCGTAGATTTACCCCACGATGCACACGAGCTGAGAAAAAAGGTTTTGGTTTAAAGAAACATGCTTGCCTATTAATATATAGACGAGAGGTCGTCCAGTGGTCGAAACTCGACCAAAAATATGTAATGTACTCACTTATCTATTTTCACCCCACACTGTAAATAAAACATGTGATTGGAGTTTCCTCCATTTGTTTTGATTTTCTGTTTATATTTCGTTGTTATTTCGTAACCAGCATAGCAACGCATAAGATCCATGTTAATTTTTTCAAATTTTTAAACTCATTTTTTGTGCTTATCTTTGAGCCTATTTAAATTTATAAAGGGATTCTGCACACCTACAGGAAAATAGCTTTCCAACGGTATGCGTAGATTTTCCCTACGATGCACACGAGCTGAGAAAAAAGGTTTTAAAGAAACATGCTTGCCTATTAATATATAGATAGATAGATAGATGATTTATGTTGCTTACTTGCCAAGTTTATATAAACCTCATAAGATATAGAACTTAAACATTCTTATTAGTGAAACATTTAACATTTTGTAAATATATTTATTTCCCAGGTGGATATGCCAGTGTTCTTCTACATTGACTCAGAGTTTGCGGATGACCCAAAGATGGAGTATGTTGATGACATTACTCTTTCTTACACATTTTTTGAGGCAAAGCCAGGTTTGAGGTTACCAGTGCCCGGCTACGCTCAACAACATTACTCCAAGCCTACCACTCCTAGTCGATAGATGTAGCTGTAATGTTTGTAAATAAATGTTTATTTTAAAATTAAGATTTTATTTATCATTAAAGAGCTAAAATGTGACCACACCTGCATATTTTTGTTATCGATCAACAGTATTTATGTCCAACCTATTTTTAGTCGCACTGAGCTAGTATACAACTGGAGGTAGCACTGAATGATAGAATTGAAAGATGTTAGTCACCATTTAATAATAGTGGATGAATTTAATTGTTCATAGAACAATGAAGGAATGAAGTAAGAATTGTGGGATTGTACATACATAAAGTCATGAGCTGATTTCTCTAGTTGGTGCCAACCTAACAAAATCAAAGCATGTGGATGTTCTACGAGAGTTGCTGTGCCAGTGCTTCTACTTGCATTTCTTCCTCAAGGGATATTTATTTTTCCGAGAGAGATGTTTATTTTTCTGTTTGAATTTAACATCAGTGAATTGCCAGATACAGTGACAATTTGTTCAGAAACATTGCCCGTATGTACTGTAAGTGATGAACTATTAGTATAATAAAACAACTGGTTAAATTGTATGTGAGTTTAGTTTGGAACTGGGAATCAACCCAATACTCTAATGGCCTAGAGTGCATTTTTGTCAGCGGCATTGGTCCTATTTTTAACTTTTAACATTGTGGTGTAAATTGGAATCGCAACAGCAGGAAATTATTACAATGCATCAGTAATAAATTAACAATTATTTTTATTATCATTCATTGAGATGGGGACGGCACCAAAGTGCTTATTTTAACCCAAATATGAGTGAAGGATGAGTGTAGAATGGTGTATGATCTGTGTAGCTTTGTTACTGACTAAGATCAGCGGTTTCATTAGTCAGGATCATTTATTTAAAGCCCAATGATCAGGAACAGCTGGGTCCATTTTCAAACCATCAAAAAGCTACTGACTTTTCTTAGGATCGACCCGCGACCTTTTGATTACTAATGAAATGGCAGATGTTTAAAATGTTTCTTAGATTGGAATATTGCAATAAGTCTAGATCACGTACATTGTGGAGGCGATCACAACATGACAAAGAAAGGCTAAGCAATACCCCTGCCTGTTTCTTTCAAGACTGTCATGGTTTTTTTAATGTTCTCTTAGACATACCTCTTAAATCCTTCCTCATCGTCTTACATAACATCCCTACCCCTAAAATTGGGCCCTTTTGGGGCATTTTTCAAAATTGAGAATAATTATATTGGATTTGGCATGTCCAAATTAGGGGGAAATGAGAATGAACAAGTACTTAAAAGCCTTACCTTTGTACACAACAGATATAGAAAGTTTTCAAATGAACACCCTGTAAGCCTATAGGCACATATTATTCTCACAAATCTCATTCAGCTGAAACATTTATTTATACTTAAAGTTCATTATTCAGGGAAAGATGAATAATTTGAATTGGAGAATCAATTATTCTGGGAGCTCTGACCCATGGGGAATTCCTACCGATCTAAGGATATCCTATGGATGTGATCACGGCAAAAACTTGATTAATTTTAAAATCATTGGTAATGTTAATTCGAAATAAGATAGAAATTTTGTTTAGTTACGTTTAAGCACTAAAATATATATATATATATATATATATTCAACACTATAAAATATGTTTTAATGTAGCCTACAGAGAATATCCATAGGAAGTCTTGAGGAAACTCCCAAAATGCATTTGTTTGAGTGGGATGTGTGCAATATCCTAAAGTGATCCTAGGGACATTGTCAAATCCTGGGATCTCTGTAGGATGTGGAAACTGGTCGGGATATCCAGGGAATATCCTGTGCTGTGTGGGAGCTGTTTACAATCAGCTGTTTGACAGAATTAAAACTAATAACTTCATCGAAATGCAAACATAGTCAACCTATGATAAGAATTACTAGCGCACATATCCTGATCGTAATGTTTGTTTCATGTGTGTGTTTCTTGTAAATAGTCGACAATCATCTGCAGATGCATTAAATTTAACAAGATTTAACATACAAGTATGCTGCTGAAGACGACGTTATAAACATGTACAACATGTAAACCAAAGTGTCAACGCCTTCATAATGACTGCGAGCAACATCTTTACATTCTTGTAAGAAAATAGTATTTTCTTTTTGCAGGCGCCGAGAACAATAAGAAAATCTGTATCCGTGAAAACTTACTTAATACAGTAAATATAATCTCAACTTTTATATCATAAGACGATTGTTTGTGCATTCGTATTTGTATTTAAAATTAATTTGTACTATTATCAGTAAGTTAAAGTATTTTTGTTGTCAAGTTTTACACTTTTGTTGTTAAATTCGTTTCGAAGATTTTTGTGAACAAATATAAATCCAAATAGTATTATGTATTATAGGACTATGTTGTTGTAGAATTAGTTACAGTATAGGCCTATATTATTTAAGTATTAAATAAATCAAACATGTACACGATGTACATGGTAATAGTTTAGAGTTTCATTATTTTCCAAATTTCTTAACATAAAAATAATGCTTTGAAACCTGTAGGCATTAAACTAATGTTTTTTTACTTCTTGAAAGTTCAAATTGAAATTAGATCTTAAGCAGTATAAACTTTTTATTATAATTTTTACAACATAAATAACTAAATACTCAAAAGTTGATATTTATTTTGGTATAATTTTAACATTGTATTAAGATAGTACGAGTAAAAACATAATGTTAATCCATGATAAAAAAAAACAATTTCCCATATTCAATTAGAATATATTAACTGAGAAATAAATTGTAAAATCTTGTAAAATTTTAACATTATAAATTAATTTTCCACTGCCCGATAATGCAGGTTGGCAAAGTCGTTCGATTATATTTTTGAAATTGAAAGTTTAAACTTTTGTACCAAATCTCATCAAAATTGTATTCCAGTTATCGTGCTAACACAAGCACACACACATGCTTGAACGATGATTTTAGACTTTGGGTACATCAAAAAGTGAAAGTAAATCGGTCCTGGGTCCAGGTCTTACTATGAAACCTACGGTAAAAGGTTATTCCCTATGTGGGAAATTCGCCAGTACAAGAAAATGCCGTACTTACCACCATGGTAATCTGGTTTGTAGAGGTAGTGCGGGGCTTTGCTCCCTGAGGTTCCGTGTTCAAATCCCGCCAATCACCAAGGCATTACATTTTAACCACAAGCGTAGTAAGTTCAGATCCTCACTTTGTGTAGAAAATTGAAAGTTGTAGCGAGTCATACAAAGTTATTAGTGTTAATATTTATATCGGAGTTATGAGGTTGTTCCACATATTAGGTCCTCGCAAGGCTAATTAGAGGCTAGCAATGCTTGTAAACCTCACGAGGTCTCGCTCAAAGGACAAGGCCTCATGTCATAACTCGGATTACTTGATAACAAGGTGGTCGGTTTTGGCGGGGGAAATCGGCGGTAATTCGTCGTAGACCTAACCATTGAATAAACATCCAAGTTTAACCTACCAGCTTACACAGAGTAAGGTGAAGTTTCTTAGTGTACTTAGGACGTTAACTGCCAATATACTCTGATTGTCAAAATGAAAATGTTTGTTCACTGTACCCATTTTTGTGAACTTGAAAAAATTAGAATCTGCATAATAACGAGAGTAACTCCGTTCACAAAATTTAGCTGGTTTTAGGGTTTAGGGGGTGAAATCTATCTTATCCTCTTGAACCTACCTTTAAAATAATAGCTCAATAGCTGAGGCTCGCCAAAATATTAATCAGATGTGCCATATATTTCAAGTAAAAAAGTAGTGGAGAATTTCCCCTTAAACTGCCTAAATTTTGTGAACGGAGTATAGTAAGGCGTGATATATGATATCATAGACAAAAAGAATTAAATATGGACTGTCAGCCGTGCTGCGGTTATCATAGGTTCTGGCGCACACCGCTGGGAGCGCCATGTAGTTACGACGTACCCACTACGTAACTCTGGCGCACCCAGCGGTGTACGCCACAACATGTGGTAACCATGGTAACCGCAGCACGGCTGACAGTATATATTTGAATTCTTTTTGTATATGATGATAATATATAGATGATATATATATTATATAGCTGAGTGTTTACAGTTCTAACCTAGGTAACCAAGAGGTTACCAGTTCAATCCTGAGTAAAGCTTTTTGATGGTTCGAAACTGGATCAGGCTGTTCTTGATTACACGCCGGTTATAATAATTTGTCCTGGATAAGACCAGGCTGATCGTAGCCAATAGCAAAGCTTTCATCTCATTCAGGTCTAATTGGTCATTCATCTCATACGCTCCTGGTGTTTTGGGCTCGGAGAAATATAATCTAATATGTATTGCTGTTATTACAACAATTATTGTTCTTAAACTAAGTGTAGACGTAGCAGACTACCATGTAGTAGATGTTTTAGTTTAGCATGATTTAAATAGGAGTTGCAAACATTCGGTAGCCAAACTCAACTTGTCTGAATACTTTTTAATTACAGTTAGTTACAATAAGAGAAAGGAGTATATATTCTACATGTTAGTCTCAGGTTATACGCACTATCAAGAGCTCTTAAATAGGGGTTTTAGTTCGTTCATGTGTCATTTTTTAAGAGTTTGGTTGCCTTTTAGATTACATTTGCTCGTCCACATGGGACTATAGCCTGTGTGTGACTTTTATCCAAAGGCAAGGCGTGAGTTGGTACAATAAAAGAATGAACTGTACTACCGTATACCCTTAGCAATATGGCAATGCCCCTGAACATAAAATTTTGCCTGGCGTTCAGGTGCACTCTTATATTGCTGATATAGGAGATTAAGCCGGAGAAAATGTATTTCCTATAGTCACCTGATAAAGTGGCCTTCCTTGCGCTGATTATAGAAAAAAAATTTCTAATTGCTGCATTTAATTACTTTTGCCGCACACCAGTATTCCAATCAATAACTAAACGACACAAAACAGCGTGCTTTTATTAGGCACGTAATACGTGTACGCTTAAAAATCAGTTGGCAACACTTAAAGATATTACGACTATCATCAGCTGGTTTAGCTTTTCCGCTTTCGTTTAATGTTTGGATCTAACCTAACCTAAAAACGTGTATAGTGTTTGAAAGCCTAATTATTTATATGATTTATAGTAACTGTAGGAGAAATATAATGTGTAACGCGAGTGCAAACTGACTTTGTCCCACTTCACCCACTAGTTACACAAATAACTATTATATATTTTTTAAATGTTAAATGAAGTTTGTGTTGTGTGTTATGACTATGATAACGCTACTTTAGTTGAATCTTCGATGTCTGGTGATGCAAGTGTAATACGAAATGAAACGACCGTAACGCAAGTTACAACGGATTGAGCTGTATACAGGTAAATCCTATTTTAGTTACCGATGTGTTTTAGTATTTTGTAACTAGACACCATAAATAATTGCATATTTCTATAAATAAGACTCCTAAAACTGCTAGACATTTTATCTTAAGTTTATGTTTTCTAAATTTTAGTAATCAACATAAACTTGATTAAACTTTGGATTTAGGGAAGTCCCCTCCTTCTAAACCTACCAAGAAAAGGAAAAAATAAATTTGTCCATGTAAAAACCAAATAACGCCATTTATTTATCCATATTTACAATAAATCCTTGTATTTACACAACTTATATATTACATAACTAGTGGTACTGGCTATTAAGTCCCAATAATGCCAAACACAAAACTCACACAATGTTTTTCAGAGTGATCTGTTATCGTTTTGTACAACAGATTGGAATTAAGAATTGGAAATATTACAATGACAATTAAAGCTAAGAGAAATGCCCAGAAACATTTAAAAGGTCACTCTGAAAAAGTAGCTCTGACAATCGATTCATATTGCGGTGCTTAAATAACAATTATATACATATCGATAATACGAATAACAATAACTAACACGAATGAGCATGATTTGATCATTCTAAATTGTAAAATCGAACACTTCATCTAAAGTAACAGGTTTAGTGGCTGCAAAAGTATAAACGCATAAAAAATATAAGAATACTTTGTATTTTGCCTATCACAATATTTTTTCACATTTCCGAGTAATGTACTCAAACTACATTCGATCACTACACCCATGAATTAACGTTTTCGAACTTTTCTCGATTTAGACAGTTATTAGAAACAACAGGTTTACCAATCATAATGTAAGGAAAAAAGTAAATCAAAAATTTTTCAAGGGGTACCAACATAATTCTGAATCCTTTTTCAAGCATTGAAATGAAATTTAACACCGAGATAATTTGAATAACAGATCGAATGCTAACCAATGGACCTCTCCATAAAACAGAGTTTCTCTCTCCCCAACGCCAATAATTCCATCCGATTTATTCACACCATTAGTTTATCCAGTTCGATATTTATTCGATCGAAATTATCGTATGGTCCGCATCTAAAGCGGTATGCTGGACCAGACGGGACCGAACCTTGGTCCCTTGTGTTTGGGAAGTTATAGTTTCATAAATTCAGATTTGGGCTTTTGTACCGCAATGCTAGGTGGCAGACCCGAGCCGTGGATGGAATTTGGGATCAGATGGAACCCATCTTGGACCCGGACCGTGTCGTAAAGAATTTTACAGGGGAGTTATGAGTGAGATTGTTTATTGGAATGGTCATACTTGCGTGAATAGATTTCTTCAACTAGTTGAAATATGTTGGATTTTGGACACATAATTATATTCAATGCCATGGGATTAAAACTTGGATAAAATTTGTATAATTTAATTTTAAGTCATACACAAAACTTTATAATAATGCAAAAACTCTAGATTATAAAACAAGAGAAAAACTCCATCACAGGTCAGTGACGATTCTTTCTGGTATTATCTGGTAGACATATAATTTAGAACTAATATACTCTGCTAGCTGTAGCTCATAAAATTTAAAATACGCTGAATATTTCAATAAAATATAAAACAAATACAGGAATATCTTGTAGTGGGAAATCGATTACACTATATACAAAACAAAATAAACGGTCTTGAGTAAACAACAAACAACTTATCTTAAAATGCCATTCGAAGAGATCATTGCATCAACTGTGGGTAAATCGTCAACTTTGATTTCAGCTTTAACAAAAACAAACACCTTAAATATTTACAAGTCTTTTCATTGTACTTTGGTCGTCAAGTCCAGAGGACTCGTCGATGGTAGTTTCGTCTCCTCTTCTATGTAGTCGTCTCCGTCCACAGTGATGTGTTCCTCTTCGTCCTCTTCGTGGACATCGCTGTGGTAGGACTCCGCCCCTCTGGACGACCGCGAGGACGGTCTGACGGAGAGGTCGATGGGGAAGTCGTGGTCGGGGACGGTGGCGGGTTCCGGGGATCTTTGAGATCGTAGTATCGCGTCCAAGTGGAGTCGCTTGTGCCTGACTTCTGGACTCGAAGGAGCGACCTCTGGCTTGGGAACCACTGGGGCGTTGGGGAATATGAAGTGAGATGTCAGAGGGAAAAGAGGAGGAGGGAATGGTGAGTTGTGCAACATCGATTGTAGCGATGCGAAGCTACTGAAGGGCTGCAGGTAATGGTTGGGGATAAGACTGGGTGAGTCGGGCTTGAAGTACGAGAAAGGTTTGACCCTCTCTCCAATCTCAACACTAGAGTCAGAGTTGTGAGATTCAGGAGAGCTGATGGTCGGAGAAGCTGCATTCTTGTACTCTTCAAAACCCAAATCTTCTTTGGGACTTATCTGCTGATGGAGTCTGTACTGCTCGTAAGGACTTTCCATCTGCCAAGGGTGGGCTCTGGATGTTGGCGTGTTCCCGAGTGACATCCTCCTCGCTTCGTTCTGCTCCTGCTCGATCAGACAGTGGATCTTGAACCAGTTGGATCTCCTGCCGTAGCGTGACCCTCCTTTGGACATGCCGACGTTGATGCACTTCTTGAGTCTGCATGCCTTGCAGGACGTCCTGCTCTTCTTGTTGATGACACATCGGCCACTGTTCTTGCACGGGGTGATGGAGTTGATGTTGTTGTACGACCTCCCGAAAAATGACTGAAACAAAGAAATATTAATTAGTGACTTGATTTTTGTGATTTGGTGTAATCTACACATCACTTTTGTTAAGAGTTCAATCACACTAAGGTACTGCCTTTTAAATAAAAATCCCTATAATCTGAAATATGCTGCTCTTGGCACATTTCACGACTCGCTTATCAACTATTAAAACTGCAATAATTTAACGCACAATTAACGACTGGCACGCAAAACTCATCGAAGCCTCAATAGGGCTAATAAAACCACTATCGTCTTTACGTCCATCCTCTGCACTAATTCACTGCACCCTTTCCCTCAACTACTAAACGCCACTTAGAGATAAACATGCAACCGTAAATCCCTTAAACAAATTGATCTCCCAGCGAGTTAACGACGCGCACGTCGGCACAACACATAACCATCCCATCGAGAGTACGGCTCTAAAGCGCACCGGAGGTTTCAATCTGAAGGTACGTAAACCAGTGTTAATTTTATTACGGACTCGTTCGAGAGCGCAAACCCTCTTAACATAACTCAGCGAGCGCGATGTACAAGTAGCGCGTACATGTAGGTACAGGTGTCTGTGTCTGTGTGAGTGTAACTTGTGTTTGTAGCTGAGTGCAGTTGTAAGTGTGTGTGTGATGCATGCAGATAGGCAGATGTGGCTGGGTTGCGTTTTCCTATGTGCACCTCGTGATGGTGGTAAATGTATATTGTATGTAACTGCTTAAATACTCCGTAACATATCGTGATGTAGACTCTCCAACATTGGTTAGGAAGAAGTGCTTTGAGGAGTGAATAAATATTACAAAAAGGGAACTGATTAACTATTTGGTTTGGACTGAGTTTTGGAGTTACCTAAATTGGAAAATGAGTGGTCGCTGATATTGAGTGATGCAAATGTTTCATGACTTTCAAATGAGATTTTCAGCCGTTTCCGACAGTCCAAATTTGCAGCAATGAGTACGCTATACACTTTCACCTCAAAATTGTATATTTATGTCGAAGCTTACACACCAGCTATTCACACAGGTTGTGTGCGTTTGCTTAGCCGAGCGTTCCCAGTTATTGAGTCATAAAGCCGTGGCTAAATGGCGTAAAAAGAGCGGGCGTTATCAATTAACGCTACGCTCGGTCTGTACGCTCTACGCTCTAGTTGCTGTTACATCAGCGTGTAGGTCACGGGTTCGAATCACTTTCGCCTCCTTGAAGACGCTGCAGTTATGTCGCTATGTCAGATGTCTCTCTACCGTGTACTCCGGCAGAGGTATTCCGACGCAATGCTACCTACAAGTCCGCGGTCATGTTCATGTGCCGGGTACAAATTATTGCGCCCGCGACAAGGACTTTGATGACGGGAAAGTTGTGAGGCTGCAGCTTTTTGCAACAATTGTCGATAACGGTGGACTTCTTGTCGATAGGGAATTATGTTGGAAATTGCCTACTGTATTGATGGTTTCAGATATTTCAAGTATGAGCAATGTGATAATTTACTAATGGGGTTTAGATTATTTTGTCTGCAGTCAGGTTTAAATCGATTTCGGAGTATTCTGTTGTGTGGTTAAAACTAAAATCACTTGAATATTACTTGAAGATTTTAATATTGGTTCATGATATGTCATTGCAACTCATTGAAAGCGACACCAAAGGTTTTGAAACCTGATGATACTTCTGAATTGTATTTATGTTCCTCACAAATTAAGCTTTACTCTTCTGGTAAATATTTTTCTTGGGTGGAAATTTAGGATGCATTTTTTTCTGCTAAGTACTCGTATCCAATCCGCTCCTACTTACTCATTGCATTTTCTATTGGAGCGGATTCAAAATGCGTTTCTGCCTCATCACTCCTGGTGTCACATAAACTCTGTTGTTCCTACATGGGAAATGAAGCTGTTACATCTGCTGGCCGTCCCCCCTACAAGGAGGTGCTGCCCGTTTACACCGACCCTTTTAGGTTCTGCGTGGTTGTAACTCACGGGTTCCCACGGTTCCGAACTGGAGTGGACTGAAACTGTTCGTGAAGAAGGTCTACTGCCTTCCACCATAAAAGGATGGGGTTGATTTGGTAGTTTGAGCTACGTAGCTTATGGTTGCTGAAGGCTTATGGAGGAATTTCACGTCAAAGTGACTTTGCAAAACAACATAGCTTTACTTTTGGTTGTAATCAACATTTCAACATAGGCGTCAAATTTCAAAGACCTACTATTGCTAATTTATGTAGAGAACATAAGAAGAATTTGATTGCAATCGTTTGTAATTCTTCAAGTCTGATTCACTAATGCAAAGTTCTTATTTGACTTAGCATATTCTATGACCACTATGCTCGAAATGTAATTACTTTGAAAAGCTTTCATGAGTGAAATTTGACTATACATGCGTCTAGGTAGTACTTTGGAGGTTGTAGTGTTCAAACATGGATGCTCGCTTTGGGTTCGATAGTCGTGCCTAGGTTGTGGAAAGCTAAATTTGAACTATCATTGTTTCTGATCTCGTTACCTGTAACTCTGTAATCTCCCCAAAAAAGAACCGTTCTCTTGAGTTGATTTAGATCACCCTTTTTTAAGCCCTGGCTGTGATGTTCAGATTATGTAACAACTTACGTTTCATTCAATTTTCAAGTCCAACTATTCGAATCATTATTATAAAACAAATCACCTTAGTTCAATAATTACTCAAACAAATGCCCACTTTGGCGAGAGACCTGGCAGAACTTCGTAGGTGAAAGCAGTTAAGTCTCATAACGCTTCGGATATTTTATGTTGTGGTATTTCTGAGAAGACGACCCCGATTGTGTAAGCGGGGAAAGGCAATAACCGCAGTTTTACTTCAGTTTGATGACTTTCAGAGGTCACAGAAAAGTCTGCGGTAGTAAAAATGGTCTAGTTGTGGACTCTTGGGCAGTTACAGGTTATGGGTGCGCTATGAATGGGCGAGGGGATTGAGTGTACGTAACTTGTGTTTGGGTAGGTTACTCGTGGTATAGTTTAGCAAGAGCTGAGGACTAAAATATTAGTAGAAGACTTTGGTGGATTTAATTGTTAACGAAAAATATTATGGGGGCCTGTTTCCATACACGTTTTGCCTGTACGTTACTATAGTTTGTTTAAATAACAAAGGTAGTTGGAAATGGGATCTGCATGCGGTCAAATAAAGTTTTTATTCATTTACCTCAACCCTAACCGCCTTCGTTATTTGGACAAACTCTAGAGACTAGAAGTTTTATTTGAGATCAAGTTTCAAACTCGCTAAAACAAGTTCAATTGATTGCGCTTCTAGATCGCCTTAAGCACCGAAAAATCAACCTCTTCACCACGAGTTTCATGAATGACGAAAACCGACAAAAACAACAGAGCCTCATTTACAAACAATACCGTGAGTCACACAGCCCAGATGTCCACGGAGTGTGGCGGGCGGGTGGCCCAACGCCGCCCTTGACTTTGGCTCCCGGGGCGGGAAGCTCCGCCAATTAACCCGAATCGGATGTCGACACCGACTTAACAGAGCCTACGGCGGTGCCAAGGTCCGGAGTGAGAATTGTGTAAACAATAACTCGCACGCAACACCGCCTGTTGCACAAGCTTAAATGGGACACTTCTCGGCTGCAACGCGACCTTACGGTAATTAATTGTTCCTCCGGGTCCGCGTCCTGCGGAACTCCGGAACTGTGGTGCTGTGGGGAACTGCGGAACGGACCGTGTGGGGTGTGGAGATCTTACTTGAGCAGGTTCCGATTGGATTTAGCTGTAGATTTGTGTATACTGCCAAAAGTCTATACTTTTGCTCTGTCGAAAAATTATCAACCGATAGCCCACAAATTCAAACTGACCACAAATTTGTATCCAAAATATCGCAAGTACATGTTTTATATGGAGAAAAGATCTCAAATTAACAAATTTAGACGTAATCAATGTAATGCATATATGAATAGATATTTCATTGCTGCATGGTTATCAAACTATTGCAAGTTGTTAGTGGGTACACGTATATCCTATAACCTTATAAACAAGAACGCCGCCGTTTACTAAGACTCGAAATGTTATATCACTATTTACTGTGTCTGGAAAGAATATTATGCATAATAAATATTTCACGATTCTAACTTTGAATTTTTACCTAGTGGACACCGTTTGGACCAAGAAACAATTAAGTTTTATTCCCGAATCCGATGCTAGATGCGTAACTACTTTGTACAACATTATTGATGAACAGAATTTTATCTTTAAGTCCTCTCCCTGTCGTGAAGCACAGGTACAACGGTAAGATAAAAATGAAATTATATACGTAAACAGCTGCACAACACAATAATGACAACTCTAACTTGAAAACGAGTAGCATACGAACAAAAAAAGAAATTGTATAGTTAATATTTTGAGCAATTAAACTGCCAGCGACCGCGGGTCAAAGTTGAACGATATCGGAAGGTCCCGCGACGCGGTTTGGCGGGAAAGTTAAGCGCAGTCGGCGCAGTTCCCGCTCCATATGCGCACGCGCCTTGAAGGCCGGTTGGGCAACATGCGCCGCGCAACGCCGAGCGGAACATGCCGATTTACCCGAATTAACATGACTATTTAGTTTCTGCAACTGTGTCTGCACGGAGAGGTCGAGTATCAAATTGGTTTTAGGTGCAGGGAACCTATAGTTTTTGTGGCAAAGTTTATTGAAATCGTGGAATTATTTACAAACAATATATAGTCGTGGGGAATTGAATAAATGTAATATGACGAATAATAATAGTTATAGACGAGTGTATTAGTATTAAAATACTGCCATATGGTTATGAAGCTAATGATAGATTTTACAATACAGTAGTTTGTGCGGTTGGAAATGTTTAAACTCGTGCCAGTACCCAAACAAATTGAATATACAGTATTTTCAGAAACCATAATTCTGTGAAATTTATTTAAAACATTACTATGATCATCTAAACAAGCTAACACATGAAACAAATAAAATGCCTGCTTCAATGACACTTTATTGCTTCGCTTGGACAACCATTGGCTCATTTTAAACACTTGATATTGAAATGTGTAGCAATGAAATATTAAATCATGCAGTGACCACTGAACTGGGACAAATTGTAGTTTGTCACCGTATCGGCCTAAATACGCCCTAGACACTATAGTGGGTGCCGAATTACCTTGCAACCTTCACAGGTGAATGCACCAAAGTGAAAACCCGCCGCTGGTTCATCGCACACCTTACACAGCTGGTTCATCTGGAACAAGAAGAAAAATAATTAGTTGGAGTTGGTGACATTTGAAAGAGTGCAATAATGTTATTATGTAAAATATAAGGTATATGGAAATGTATGGAATCCGGGTCGAAGGACCAAAAAACTGGTCCTTCGACTAGTTATACCCCAACATGGTAAACAATTATTTGGGATTGGCGACAAATAATGTGAAAGAAATAATGCATTTGTAATGTTGTAGTATTGGGAAAATATAAGATATATGGAAATATGATATCTGTTTCGAAGGACCAAAAAATACACAAAATGGGATACAACATACTAGAGCTTGTGCTAAAGATACGAAAAAGATTTGATAATTTTCTTATTCATTTCGCTTTAGTATGAGCTTATTGATGCACACTTATGTACAGTACTATTGCTTTCCTAAGTGAAAGGGTGATCCAATATCCAAATTGTGTAAAAGCTAATTGTAAAGTCGTGTGTACTTTTGGTGGTTACATATTAAAACACATCTATAGACGAGTTTTCTGAGACGCATCATTGAATTGAAATTGGAACAACTTAAGCGTCACGTTTACGCTTCCTCGTTAAGTTGTGCACCTTACAGCGCTGTCTGCCATCACCATATCAGCCTCGAAGGCCAAGGTTCAGGGAGCATCTGGTGACGCAACAGCTGATTAAAGCTCAGTGACGTCGTCAATTATGGCTAATGGTAGTGCCATCTTGTGTTGTGTAACTGTTGTGTGGCGTAGTGTACTGAGGCTGCGGAGTGAGCAGTGGGAGAGCGCTAGGCTTCGGGGCCCGAGGTCCTGGGTTCAAATCCCACCAATCGCGAATGAATTTTATTCCGGACTAGCGTCCGTAGAAGGTGGGACAGAAAAAAAACGTACTGGAGGCTTTGGAGAATATTTTTTGTCTTAAGATGCTAGGTATGAACCCAGGATTGTTTTTCACATTACTGCGGGATTTGAACCCTGTACCTCAGGAACCGAAGTTCCGTGCTCTAACCACTAGACCAGGAAGCTACCCAAAGGCTTAGTAGAAAAAAACGGTGGATCACAGGATACAATGCGGATACCTTTGTCAACACTAAAGGTTTTAATTTAATCACGAATAAAGAATTTGAGTGTAAGTTTGAGAGATTGAAAAATAGCCTTTCGTCAAGTTTTAAGTGCAAAACAATGATCTTTTCCCAAGAATGAACCATGTTTTCAAACACGTTGCTAAGTTCCTTGTCCAACATTACATTTTTGGCACTAGTCCTTGTTGCCACCGTAGACGTTGGAAAATAGTTTATTTCGGAGATGATCCAACGTAATCTCTTTCTAGGATTGTATGAATTCAAAATATAATGATAGGTTTGCAATATGCGTATTAGAAATATCACCACCTCATGAACAAGCCTGAACATCAGGATGACCTATTAATATTACAGAGGTTAGTTTGCATTTATATAGTTTTGAATCGCCTGTTCAGTATTCCTCGCAAGTGTTGGAACTTCAATATTGGGAGAGGAAGGTCTAAGAGTCGGCTTGAACTTGAAGGTCGACAGGTAGAGAGGTTCGGCATACTAATGATACTAACTGGCTGCTCATCCTCATAAACCGCCATAAGCAACCGTAAACATGTTTAGCTGCCATACTGACATCGGAAGGCCGTGCGATTAATAGTGGAATACTAAGTAACCAATGTGCTTGGCGATGTGGGTGAACAAAATGTGATTTACTTTTGCAAGATTGTTAAAGATGTAACTGTGATAGGAATACTATAATTTTTTGAAGCTATTTTTCAGTTTTCCGAATACTGCTAACACACTACTTAAGATACAAATGGTGATAATTCTGTTAAATGGAAGAACAGAAAGATTTAATCAGATTTGATACCCCCAGAAAAATAAGAAGTTTCTGGGAGTAACATGAGTTAACAAGAAATTTAAATGCCCAGAAAAGGGGGAGATACTTCAGCAGGACCTAACAAAACGTAAAAGAACCACTCCGCAGGGATATTTCATGGATCAATATTTTAAAGGTAAAACGATGCGGACGTTTCGATTACCGAGACCTTTTGTAAAAGGAAAGATTCGATTGCCGTCTCCCATAGAGGCTAATGGGAAGAGAGCGGTGCAGCGGGCGGTGTGAACTCGACGAAAGTGGTTTTGAAATGTCAGACAGTTCGCGGGCGACTTCAAATTCAAATTTTAGAGCCCCAGGACCATTGTGAGAGCAATAGTCGGTGCGAGTCATGCCGCAGCATTCCCAAGTCTGCGGAACGTGCGACTTCGGTCTGGTGATAGCTGCAGACGCTTTAAGTTTCTCTTCCTCGTCTTCACTCTTAGTTGACTGTGTAGCGGAAGATGATTATGGCTGGGCAAGTAAATTTACTTGTGCTGATCTTAAGGGTAGGGGTCTTTAAACAATTTAGGTGAAGCGAAGTTAATATGATTTTACCGCTGTAGTACAAGTAATTCGCAACGTTACATCCAAGCTGCGTAAAGTAAAAAAAAATAAGACCTATAGAGTGGTTATTTTTATTGCAAAGTCATAGTCTGATTAAAACCTCTTAATCATCTAGAGAAATCTCGTCATGGAAATTCTAGCATTTCAAAGTCATGCGGAGAAATTAAAATGTTTGATCCCAAGCGAGTAAGACCTGATCAAATGATTCGAGATTCAGCCGTGATCTTAATATGCGTAATTTGGTGGAAATCAGATCGTGTGTCTGAAGGACCGAGTGGCCGCGGGGTTGTGATGAAAGGTATCAGTTCCCACACCTCCAGTGGAATACTTGATGTGGCAGGGGGTAAACAGTATCATTACAGCTCATCAAAAGGTGAAGACCCCGATAAAAATCGCCTCTTTGCCACCAATTTTCGGCTCGCATTACTATGGAAAGTTAAAGAGAGGATGGAACGGTAAACTGGAATTCACGAGCGCTACTGGACTACGCACGCCTCCGCTGTAGCCCGAGGTGGACAGGTGTGAGGAGGTGGAGGGAGGGAATGTCCAGGGTGAAGACAGGAGGGTGTGAGAATCAAGAGGAGTTAGAACTGGTAGTGAGGAGGACTGGTAATACTGCTTTTAGGAAAGGTAATTACTGACAAATTCATGATCAAAGTGAAGTTTTCATACTTTATCTTCATTATCCATTATGTTCATCAGATCTTTTGTTGAATTTGGGTGACAAAACAACAGTAGCTACTTCACTTTTTTTTGCAAATGATCATAATTTGTATGAAAAAAATCCCTCTACAAAAAATACATAGTAAAACCTTATAGTTGTAAATTACTGTTGATGTCATACTACTAATAGCGATAATTTTATTAGAGAAGTCCTAAAAGTATGAAAATACCCCCGCCGCAGCAAACCTGCAGACTAAGCGAATTTCCATTTGACTGATTGGATTTACACTGAAATGTCTACTTAAAAATTTAACATTTATTCCCGATTTAAATAGAATTAGTTTAACAAGTACTTAGGTTTGCTGCATATGGGAGGGTAAAATTGTTTTTTTTTTTGTAAAATGTTAATAGTTAGTAAGAAATAAAAACATTTTCCAAATTTGATCAAAATATGATCATAAACAAGCAAACTACAACAGTTTACTTATTCTCCATAAGAATAACATGGGAATTTTAAATTTACAATTTTTTGGAATTTTCTCCGTAACCGTTAGGCGCATAATAACGCTTCAATATACTAAATTATTTGTTTTTTTAAGCTCTACAAAATGGTTTGGAAATAAATTGCAAAATTTTAAGTTTTTTGGGTCAAAAATGGGAAAAACCTATTTTTACCCCATAAAACCCCCCGTAAACACCCGTTCCCATGGTCCGATCATGCTGGATCGCGAACTCGTTCGAATAAACTTAGGTTTACACGTTTGTACCAAATTTCATCAAAATCGGATCATTTTTGCTTGAGTTATCGTGCTGACGGACACATATATATATATATATATAAATATATATATATATATATATATATGAATTTGAACGGATGGTGTTTTTGGCCTCTAGGGACCTCAAAACGAAAAAAAAAATCGGTCCCGCGTCCAGGTCTTACCATGAGTACTACGGTAATAGCTTATTCCCTATATGGGAAATTCGCTAAAAATCGGATATTGTGCCATGATAGATTGACAAAGCGATTAAAAAGTGAATTGAGGATAGTATTCACACACATAGAAAATGCACTAATCAGAAGTTAATTATAAATCCCAACCATTCAAACTAATTTCCCTGTTTCAATTCATCACAACGTTAGCTGCAAATCCATTATGCCACTAGAAACAAGGCACAAGGCCGCCACGACACATCACAGTCTATTTAAGTATCTCCGTCACGGATGAAGCAATGCGTTGTAGATGTTTGATTTATATCTGCACATCTTAATCGTACGTTGGAGAGGAAGGCAATCAATAATCACAATACAGGTACACGACACACACATACACACGCGCGAGGACGCTCCACGACTTCAGTACAACCGCGCGTTCAAGTCTCCAGCGTGAGTCGCCTGTTGCGTCAGTTCCTCATCGGCACCCCCGCATTAACGATTTAACCCAATAATCTGACGTCTCTGCTCGTGTAGTGGATTTCACACTTGCAGATAATTATCTCAGGTTAGCCTTCTCCTCGGCCTTGACAAATAATCCACAAAACGACGCTCTCTGCTCGTGCTCATCTTGACCTTGAGGTGACCTTACGTCCTCATCCTGCTCTGCACCGCACATCCCTGTGCTCCGCTTTTTGAAAGGTTCGTCTCTCATCTGTATGCAAGGCTTTGCCTCTGGTCAGACGTTCACTTCCTGAACCAATCTGTAGACGAAGGTGTAGGTTGTGTAAATACTGGAAATTATGGTTTCTGTAAAAAGTTTGAAATTGTTCATAAACCTTTTTTGTTAATTGGTCAACTTGTGACGCTGTCAAAATTGATGGTTAGGTAAATCAGGAGTGTATATATTTTGTATTTAAGTAGAAAAAAAATACTACTAATTTAGATAATCCTTTACATTTTTCAAA